AGCAAGCTAAGAAAAGTCACCCTCCCACAGAGGATATTTTATCGCTAAGCTGGAAAACCCACATCCTCTTCCAGTCAAGGATTTTGAACAGGCTCCCTGGCTGGAAATAATATTAGAAAAATATTGGTGAAACACCATGTGTCTGGTTGCTGTACTGCCTCTGACAGCCAAAGCCACATTTTTTCTAAACTCTTTTTTTTTCAGCTAATGAACTCTGAAATCCTTATCACCATGTGTCTGGGGGCTGGCATGTTTCCTGTTAACTGTTTCTGAGTGGCTGATGTGTAGAAATGAAATAAAGGCATACCAAGTGGGTAAAAGTATCAGCCTGCGACCTTGCCATCATTCAAAGCTAAACAGCATGAGAGAAAAGGGTAATTTAAGTTGTTGTCTTTAGTATGTGGACAAAAAATAATTCACTCTTTCATTGCCTGGGCAGGTTGTGCCGGGCTGAAGGAACAACTGTTTTGAAACTCCCAGCTGTGGAATAAAACTTGTTCTCTTCAGTGCACTGTCATTGGGTGTAATCTCATGGCTGAGAGCTGGAGAAGATGGATGAGGCCCTGGAAAATACCTTGGACTCCAGTGCCCTGTTGATTACTGTGCTATTTGGAGAGAAGAAAGACTGTTCACCTCCAGCTGGTGCATTTCTCTGTAGCAATCATGAAGTTGGTGTCTTCCAACTGATTAAGGCCCAGCAAAATCCTACAGGATTTTGTTTGGTGGACATATTCATGCGCTCCTTGTGGCCAGCAAACCTCATGCCAATAATGGCCCCGATCAAGTACAGAAAGCTTTCTCTCTTGAAGCCAGTCCTTTTAGGCACATCCACAGTATCCATCACAGATCATCAAGGTTTTAATCCACTTCACTGTCAAAGTACCCACAGCCGGCTTGTCAACATTAAACACATTGATTGTGTATCTGCTGGTATCAGAGGTAGCCATGGTAATAATGACATCCTTCTGGGCTGGTAGTATAGACCTTTACACAGGCTGACATATCTGGAAGGGAAACAATACTGCAGTGCTTGAGTGGCTTCTCCAGCTTCTTCAGCTGGGTAGTTTTGGCACGTGAACCAGCTGACGCAGGGCTAGCTTCAGGGTCGCCATACAGCACCAACGCAGGCAGCACGACCACCTCTTAGACACTTATCGCCATGGTAGCCAAGCGTGAGCAGCAGACAGAAGCTCCCTAAGGATATTTCTGGATGTGAGGGAGAATTTGCAGGTTGTTAAAAATCAGCTGAAATGGTGGATGGGTTGTAGGTGTGAAGGACATGAAGAAATTCTGGGAGAGGGGGTAATATATGTCTGTGCCCACACACCTAGAAAGGGTTTTGATCCCCGTTCAAGGCTCGTTTTAGTTGAGAATGAAATAATAGGAACCCAGTAACGTTACTGAATTTCACTCTGCATATTCATTCCACTTTGAAACCCTGGTAACAAAAGAGACGTGTAAAGATTTGAACGGTGAAGTTCAAACCAGTGAAAGTGAAGTTGTCACAGTGAAGTGACACTTTGAAAGAGAGGTTCTTTGGACCCAGTAAATCAAAAGCAGGCCTTGCTTTGGCTCCAGCTGTGACACGCACGCTGCTCTTCTGAATCGTACCCTGCACCCCGCTCCGCATGGTCCGTTCCTCCTCCGGCCGCTCGTGCTGCCTCTGCAACTGCAGCCTCTTGCCCTCCATCAGCCTTCCCTCCGTAGCCATTTCTTCAGCCTTACGCTCTTCTCCTTTCCCCATCCAGCAACGCGGGGGCAGTTTCAGACTTTCTCATCATATTCCCCTCTCGTTCCCCCTGGTTACTATTAAAGGGATGTTGGCTCTCTTTTTGGCCACACAAAACGTCAGTGAGAGGGCAAAGTTAGCCCTTAAACTCCGTGTTTTGTTCACTGAGCACAGTTTATATTGAATGTGCAATGGAGAAAATCAGCATAAAAATTATATGAGACTCTGTTATGAGTCTGGAACTGCTCAGAGCTGGCTCCATTGACTGGTGCAGGGATAAGACCACAGAGCTCATTAAAACATCAGAAACCAGTGATCTATATTCCTTATATTCTGCTATTTACTTTCCACTTTTACTTTTTAAACGTGAAGTGTGTTGTCATTGGTGGGGGGTGGGGGGGGGAGAGAAGAGAGGACTGAATTACGGCGCGTTACTGCAAATGCATTTGATAAGACGAGTATGGCTGGTGAGTCACGAGAAAACAGGCTAAAGGAGCTGTGCCCAAATTCCCATGTGGGAGAAGGGATGGGATGGTAGGAGACATCAACTCTCTTACAGCGCCTAACCTGCAGGTGAGACCTCACTTTAAGAAGCTGGTTTGCACCCAGCTGTTGCAAAGGAGGGAGCCTGAACGCAGACCCACTGCAAGCTGGCTTGCTCAGTGGTGGAAAGTGGCAGTGAGGCCGCGTGCGTCTCTAATCCTGGTTCAAGACCAGCAGGGTTCACAACTGCCGCGCAGCGGGAGATCACGTCATGCAGCACCTCCAGAAACTCCTGGGGCATTATCAGGAGTCTGTGAATTTATAAAGCTTGCAGGAGTTTGATTTTGATTAAGAGTGAGACTCATTTCTCAGCTGGAAGATTTTTTTTCTGTCTTATCTCTAAGATCTTCAGAAAAAACAGTTTCACAATAAATGTTGCACCTGCGTCTTCTGGGAGAAGCTAGGGTTTTCACGGCCAGAATTTTATGAGCCCTTTTTGAGTGTAAAACTAGAGTTCAGGCAACATAGCTCCTTTCAGAGTTTCAAAGAGCTAAAGGTAGGTCCTCAGTACCTGTTCCTACCAGCTAGCATCTGCACTCTGGCTTTTACAGACTTCAATAGCATAGGCAATGTTTTATCTTTCCGATTTCAGAGACTGTTCACAAGAAACCCCTCGTTTCCCTGCCATCAGACCCTCCATGGTAAGCCCACTCTTGCTAAAGCTCTTTGTATATTTATGTAAATACAAACTACCCATAGTGTCCCCCTGCTCCCAACATTAAGTAGACAGCGCGAATGGTGTCAACCCTTCCTTTCCATACTATAGACATTTTGGCCCCATTTCCGTTCTAGGATATACCAGGTTTTTCCCAGCATTTTGTCAGTGGAAGTGGCTTTTGTAAACCCTTCTTCTTATGCGGGGTAGGTAGCTGAAACGTAACTGACCCCACATGTACTTTTTAATTAATAAAGTACATAGGGCAGTCAGTGGTTCTTTTTAACTTTCATTGGTGCTAATGGCTGTGCGTGGGCACATCAAAAAAGGGTGACAAATTAATGCCTCACAAACAAGATTTCCTGATCCTTCACCTGTAAAAAAAAAAAAATTAATTCAGGATTCTCTAAAACTTAAAGGTATTCAAGAGAGAGGTTCTCTCTATCTCCCACCAGAGTCAAGGGTTGAAAAGATCTAAGATGGAACTGACATAAATTCCTTTAATCTTCTTGCTCTTGCTGTATATCAGAATTCCCTAAAATGAGGTTAATCAAAACACTTATCACAGGATATTATACTCAACAAGCCATTTCTGCATTTGCATGAAGCATTGGTTACCACTCAGTAACAGTTTACTTCTCTTTAATCACTGCAAGACATTTTCTCTATATGCCACTCAAAGTATCAAAGCTGATATTACTGAGCTGGACTGTCCTACATATTCAGGGACATCCTCATGTAAGGCTTTCAAAAATGGTATAAATGACTGATTTTATTCCACCTCCAAAGGTGTTTTCTTCTTTTGAAGGTTTAGATCATTGCATACATGTGTGTGTGTGTGTGTGTGCGCGCGCACGCACGAATGTTTTTGTGAATATATATATGAAAATGTGTTATATATACATAAAATTTAAATGTAAAGTTATGTAAATATTGTATATAAAATCCACTTCATTGTGGGTGTGCACAGTTCCCAGCAAAAAGGGGAGTTAGGTTCAGGTTAGAGTGTCTGGAGTTACAGCAAGATGAAGAAGAATAGAGAGAAACTGCTGGGCTCAATTACAGTAATTCTCGTTTGAATAAGCTTTCTAGGATTTTGTGGGCACCTTGCTTGGTTCGGGATGACAGAATTTGCCCCAGAGTAGTTTATCCCTTTCTGTAGTCTGTGAGAATGTCTCTGGTTGGGCGCACAAAGTCAAAAGTACCTTCTGCACAATTATTTACGGTGCGTGGCAGGGACTGCCTCTGCCAGAGCTGAAGTGGGCAGGAGCTTTCTCTGCCCCTTCCAAGGATGCAGAAGGGAGTTCAGGCTGCAGCACCTTTTCTCCCAGCCCATTTGAGCCCGGGGTCCCGGGATGACTACTGGAAAACTTTTCAAAGGTCTGTATCCCCTGGCACGGGAGCAGTTGCTACAAAACCCGCCAGAAGTCATCTGCAGAGAGGTGATCACCCCGGGGATCCCTTCGACTTCCGGTGCCTTAGTAAAGCACACAGGTGCTCTGCCAGCAAACCTTATCGCAAAATTGTGAGCTCTGCCTATTCAGTGCGTTGCTTCCCGCATCCTTCTGCTATCATCTCTCTCGTATTCTTTCAAAGTTACTCCAGCTTTACAGCAGCAGAGCTTAGATCAAAATCAGACTCTGAGGTACGCACCAGCTACTCTGTTCCGTACATCATCACACTTTGTCATCAGAAATACTCTACGTTTATTATTTGGAGAGTGAGTTAGACATCGACAGCATCTGATAAAGGAGCTCCAGTGTCAGGTGTAACCATTCTGGTTCAAAGGCAACGCACTTCTTTATTATTGTACATTAGTCTAGTTTAGTGGCCCTCCTGGAGAGATCAGTCATTTAAGTGTGTTGTGTCGGGAAAAAGGGAACAATGAAGAGCGCTGACTGTGGCGTACCTTTCGACTGACAGAAGATGAACAAAGTTGCTTTTCTTCCCCGGAGACCAGCGCAGGTTGTGTTTTCACAAGGCTTTTCTACGCTTCAGGAAAAAATAAACAAATTAGTTCAAGCGCCATCAAAGCTTTGAAAGCAAAGGTAAACGTGCTAACAGTGACGTTGCAGAGTTTTGTACGAAGCCCACTAGAGGGGCTGTACACTAGGCAAACAGACAAGGAATTTCTTACGTGGTGCTTGCTGAGTCTCCCTATCTGTCAGCGCTTCCGACAGCAACATCTGTGCAACAGCTGACGGGACTCGCTGCCTGGAAGAAATTCCAGCTCTCCGAGGAACGCATACATTCAGGCATCTGTACGCCAAAAACTTGTTCCATAGCTGAGAAGCCATTTATTCTTATTTCACACATATACAAAGTATGTTGCGTTGGCAGAAGCACGTTGCTGGTCTTCCTTGGAGACCCTGAGGACTCCAGCCACCGCGGCTGCACTGGGCGATGCTGGGGCCACATCCGCAGGGGGACGACAGAAAGCCCCAAAGCTGTGCAGCGGGAAGGCGCTCGCCCAAAACCAGAGGGGAGACGGGAACACGGAGCGTAACCAACCTGGGGATCTCGCCGGTCCGCCTCGGGTGCTCTCAGGAGAGCCACGCCAGTCTCTCTGCCCCACGTGGAAGTCACCCGTCCGCCAAAACTGTCCTGGGGACCTCTCCAAGCTCAGCCTTTGACCAGGGCCAGCGCCATCAACGTGCATCCGGGCGCAGAAGGGTTGCGTAGGTGCGACGGTGTACGGAGGGAGGAGGCTGCCCTGGCCCTGCGCTTCCCCCTGCTTCGCTGCCAGCGCTTGCTTCTCTTTGCCCACGTAAACAGGAACTTGAGGCTTGCAGGCCGTGGGTCAATTTTCTTCAGCAAAATGAAGCGACAAGAAAGATGAAATCAAATGCAAATCATTGTTAGTGTTCCAGGTTCCCTTGACATCAATTCCACCTCCGGAGCCCTCAGCACACCAGAGCGAAAAATCTTACACAAACTCAGATAACTGAGAGAAATGAAGTTTTTAATGAATTTGTCATCACGATGAACAAAAACTGCATTTAATTCCCTCTGAACTGGCTTCTTGCTCAAATCAGATTTGATCCAGAAACTTTGAACCGTATTATCAAGTGGAGCAAACTAAAACTATTCCACTGGCATCTATGGGGTTATGTGAAACCAAACTCTTGTTTTTCCTCCCACAAGTGAAATTCGGATTTCGGAGTTCCGATGAATTGTGATAAAGCAGAGAAACCTTAGGTCCTTGCCTAGAGATTCGTTTGCTTGTTTTAGGAAACCTTGAAAGGTAAGCTAAATAAACAAAGTTTATTTTGTATAACTACTAACCTAAGATAATATTGCACACTAGTAAAATTATGATGAAAGCTTTTGTGGATTAGGCTTTTGCGTAGACCTTTATTCATAGATCTATTGACATACCTGCTAACAACGAGTAGTTTTGCTGTGTTAGTTACTTTGAAAAATCACTTCTAGTTAAGCAAGATAATGGATTTACTTATTGTTTAAACAAAAAACTCAGATGAAGAAAGTTAAAATTTAGTTTTGTTAATATGCATTGTTCCTATACCCAGATCTTTGAGTTGCTGAGAAGGAAACCCATCCGAATCAATTGCCAATAAACCACCTCGCCTTGCTGCATATTCTCCCATGAGAATTCGAATCTGTCTGAGGAGGCAGCGTCGTTGACCAAACCCCACTGTTTTGAAGACTAAATCATTAAGCAAGGAACTGAAATAGCTTCTCCTCTGGCAGACAGGACTTAGGAGAGGTGTAACTTCTGCCCATGTATGAGGCTGTGTCCCTGCTCCCAAAAAAACACTGATGAGATGACGAGGCAGCTGCTGCTGCCGACCAAGGACCCATCTGGCCCTTTACTGTGCAGCCAGCAGCGACCATAGATGGACACCAAGGGAAGAGTCAGAGCAGTGCAAGCATATAGGATCCTTCTGCCTCCTAATATTCTTCCAGCCTCCACATATTTTCAGCTCAGGCAGCTTCCTCAGCCCGGTGCAGTTTGTCTGTGAGAGACCAAATGGTCTCTCCTTCAAGCACTCATCCATTCTCCCACTGAAGTCATAAAAACTTCTTGCTTCCACGCACCGTCCTTTAGCAAGGACTACTCTATTGCTTCTTTCATGAAGCATCACCTCCTTTCGTTTTGAACCTGGCTTTATTTGTTTACCTATTCACAATTTGGTAGCATTTGAGCGAGGGTCACGCTGTTCACTGTACAAACCTCCAACATCTCTCTTCTTTGTAAAGATTATTTTTGCGCAATAGATGCTAGCCAGCTCCCGAGTTCTACTGAAAGGAGAGTGCTCCAAAGGATCTCACCAACGTTTTTGTTTCTAGACAAAGGGAGCAGCAGCAGGACAAAAGCCAGAGAGTTGGGGTGAATTTTCCGAAAGAAGAAAGCGGGTGACCACGTTGGGAAGCAGCAAGGCCAGGCCACGCCAGGAGGGACGAGGGCAGCCCAGGGCAGCGGGCACTGCTCAACGCCCAGGCAACATCCCACAGCACCTGAACCCGCGAGCAGGTCCCGGCAGGGGCCACCAGCAAGCCTGTTTCTGACGGAAACTTCCCAGGATGTTTCCCAGGGTGTGCAAGATCTGCATTCCTCTTCCCAACGCCAGTAGCTATACACTGGCTTCAAGTATGATATTGAATGTTCTTTTCAATGTTGTTTTCACTTGGTTTAGCAACAACAATAGTAACTGGATATTCTTGATAGTGCCCTCTCCCTTTTGGAAACCAGCGGCAATAATACTGCCTGAAACAGGAAAGCGGAACCGGAAATGATTCATGTGACTGAAATCTGCAGAATAAAGGTGAATTGTTTGCTGAGCCAGTGCTCTCACACACAAGTTCACGCAAATAACTCTTATGGGTAGGAAAAGCTGTTGGTCCGGAAAGCTGAAAGACCCCCAAAACACTTTGCCGACCCTTTTAAAACTGCCAGATCACATAGCTTTGCACCATCAGCGTTATTTATTGGCTGGGTACTTTACAAGTGGTTGCTTTGAAGTATGCTAATTCAAGATGGCAGTAAATTTCAGGAGGAGAAGCAATACTTTTTTTCAATTAATATTATTTGTAGCTTTACCGAGACTTGGTGACCTACCTAGCGATTCATACAGTAAATAATTTACTTGTTGCATACAGTTCCTTGATTTTTTCAAATGTATAAAAGAAATCTTTCTGTTCATTTTTCTACTCAGTCAGAATACTTTTTTCCCTCTCCTCGGTGACTTTTCCGAGTCTTGAAGAGAAATTGTTACAGGTTAAGCAGAAAAGCCAATGTGCTTAGAGAAGAAATGCAGATAAAATAAGGCTCACATTCACATCAGCCATTCTTTTCAAAACAGGGTTCAAAATGAGGCCGAATAAGAAATGTTTCTCCTCTCCTTCAAAGGAGATTTCATAAATGAAATGACTTTAATAAACACAGGGAATGGCTGGAAAGGAAAGGGAGTTTCTCGTACTAAATATTTACCCCTTCATCTGAATTGCTGTAAAAGGTAATCAACAGTATCACACTTTCATATGCTACTTGGCTCTCTGATTTCTGTGTCAGCTTTATATGAGGAAGGAAGGGAATAATACTGCTCTCTCCGACCTCCCAGCCAATTTCCAAAGAAGTGTATAGATACCTCTCAGTGAGAGCAAAACCAATTAGCTATTAAGCTGGCTGCTATTAAAGCATCCTATCAAAACCATTTTCGTTACCATACCAAATGTTTCTGACTCTCAGGTCAGTTGCAGCTGTACTGTTTTTCGCAGCTTCCCAAAAGCAAATGCCACAGCAGTCAGCTTTGGAAGCTGCTGGGAGCCACCAACTGTTTAAGGATGGCTCCAATTAGGGGAAAGAGGAGATAAATCTGCTACTCAGATGGCCAAGGTTACAGAGGTTTTGGAAGCACGTGCAAAGCCCTGTCCATCCTGCATCACCACCCCAAAACGAGATGCAGTTTTTATGGAATGAACTGATAGGAGCACAGGAAAATCAATCCATGGTATACCATAAAAACATATTGGCTTGTGTGAAGCCACGAATGGTATTTTACAAAATTGGAGCTATGCATGACCGTAGATTTCACTGAGTTATGTAATTATTGTATTGGCATTTGCTGCAACCTACTTGCAAGAGAGTATTTTGAATTTTCAGTATGTTCAACCTGCACAGCTAAGCTAGCAGGAATTTTATGAGTCACTGCTGAGCTGCGAAATTGCATGTGAGTGATGGTATTATGGAATGACGTTAAAAAAATTCAAGTCTTAAATATACTTTAATTAAAATTAATTACGGTAATGATGTTAAACTGGATGCCATCAACAGCTAGTGATTTTTTTTTTTTTTTAATGAGGTAAAAGTTCAAAGTCAGCCCTGAGTTTTTAAACTACCGGAGTTGCCCTTTTGCTTTTTTCTACAATTGGGTTTTTCCATTTTTAGGAAATACCTGAACTACATTATTGATGCTGATACATAAATATACATATATACATATAGATAGATTGTATTTATATAAAACTTTGCGTAAATAACAAGGGAAGTGTCTGTTAAGGGGGGAGCTGATGAGATGCAAGGGATTACATCTATCCAGGGTTGTGCTAGCTAATACTGTGACACCCTTTCTTGTTACCGATGCCAAGCAGAATATCACGGTACCATCAAGGATCGCGATAGCAATAAGCCTTTCAGTCAAAAATCAGTTAGGCTTCAGGAGGCGCTGAGGCTGGGTGTGGGCACGCCAAGCTGCACGTATAATTTCCCGTACTGAGTCAAAAGGGAAATTTTTTGCTTATTTTAACTCCACTGAGGTCATCAGAAGGATTTATGTTTGTGTCAGCCACATAGCTCTCTCCCAGCTTCCTTTGTCCACTTCTGCCATCGGCTATGAAATTAAATAACGAGATCAGAACAATTAGTGTGATAAACCACTGTGATGTGAGGATGGGAGAGGAGAGAACAGAATTATTTGCACGTGACAAATAAGGCGTAACGTCAACAATACCGATGTACGTCAGGCCTGATTTCAACCCACGCTACGGCGGTGTATTATAGCTTCGCTATCCCAACATAATCTAACCAGTATCACCAGCATTTTAAGTGCAATACCGAAAGGTCAGGGTGCTTTCTAAAGAAAAATAAAGCTTACCTTGATATAAGTTAGCTGGCTCCCCCACTTTCGATGAATATTGCGTTTATGAATCCAAGACGCTGAATCTGAGGGCAAACGGAAACTTTGCAATTGGACTCAGTGAAACAGAACTTAGTCCTTGAATAACCAGAGAATACCAAGCTGATGCGAGTCACAGGAATTTGCCACTTTTATCTGCTGTCTGGTTACCGTGGAGGACACGTCCTTAGTTACGTTCCTTCTGAATTTTCCTGCTGTCTTTTCTCATGTCTTGTGCGACATCATGCTGGCTGTCAGCGTTTAACAAGCTACAGGAAACAGAAAGGGTAAGCTTTTCCCATGAGAATTAAAACACAACAAAATAAAGAATCATATGAGAACTTTATCAAGTACAACGGAGGCCAGCAGGAGTCCTAAAACACCTCTGTAGCAGTGTTTCATTAAGTGTCATAATTAAAACAAAGCTCAACTCTTAATCACGCTTAAAATAACGTTTCAGACTTCAGGAAGCCAAATTTTCCTCTCTGTTACGTGAACATAAAACCACTCGGTCCAAGTCAACTTCAAACTGCTCAGTTGAAAAAGTCCGTCAAGTGTCAAAGCAGGACTTTGAAACCAATCTTCAGCGGACCACGTGCACGAAGAAAGAGGGCTCAATGGGAACCTGCTTGTTGGTGGCTTCTCCGCCTTTTCAGGTTTCTTAGAAATCAATGCAATGAAGAGCTTAACAGCACACCCAGCAGAACTGAGGCTCTCCGCTAGGATATCTTTGATCTAGCTTAGTTCTCAGACAGACTTTACCACGCAACCGCTGCGAAACATGGGCTAGAAGAGCGCGTAGGCAAGAGGGAGACGGGGCTGCCGGCTCCGCTGGATGAAAATATCGGCGAAGCTATGGGCCAAGAACTTGTATTTCCCATCACTAGGCAGCATTGCAGGGTAAAAGGCTATAAAGCCTGCCCCCGCGATCGCGCGAAGAACAAACGGGTGCCGTAGCGCCTGCTGCAAACCCCACGAGTGCGAGCTGGGATCCCGCAGCGCTCGTCCGGGCATGGCTCCGCGTCTCGCACCTGACTGGCCCCCACCACGTGTCTGCAAAACTCTGCCACCGAGGCTCGGTATTATCCGGCAGCTCTTAGTGCTGGGTCCCTGCTTTAAGATGGGGATGCAAATGTGCTGCTTGTATTAACTGAAGCAACCTGGTCTTTCTGCTCACGGCAGTATTAAAAAACTCCTCGCCGATCCTCTTGTTTATATTAATTTCCCCCCAGTTTCAAATGTGTTTTCACAGCTGCTAAGCCAAATCTTACTCACATTTATGACAATACGGGCTGAAAATCTCTATCAATCAACAGCAGTGGATTCAGATTTTCATTTGGAAAGCAGAATTTAAACCACGACCAGAGAAACAAGAACACTTCTTTATCACCATTGTGGTTATCAGTTACACTGCAGTCGCTTGAAAAATACAAGTCTTTTAAGTAAATTCTTCTGGCATTTGGTAAGTTGTGTGTTAACGTAGATAGCGCATTTTCAACAACCACAGCCATGTCTTCTCAATAATGACTGTAACAAGTTAAACTATTTTTCATGTTTTTACTGATGAGATAATTGGTTTGAACATTGCAGAGTACAGGACACGAGAAATTGCTGCTGTTACATTACAAAAAAGCTCTTATTTCTGTTTCCACAACACAAGAGAAAGTCATAATTAATGTAATTTGCAAAGACGTTATTGCATTAGTTATGCCACGCAAATCAAACAAGCAAACAATTGGTTTGAAGCATTCTTGATATTCATCACACATTTTGAGTAATGAAAGTGATACTTCTCTAGCTGCCTGTTAAAAACCTTAATCGCCTTCTGTAATGGCGTTCTGTAATAAAACCAGAGGAAGGAGTTCAATTTGATTCCCCGTGAGAAAGGTGACCAAGAATTGTGATAAAATCGATTCCTTTTTAACAAACAGCCACTTTGGGGAGATAGAATTGGAATAAGAGTATCACAACATTTAATTTAGTACCGAGATTTATAACAGTCTTGATGGCAAGGTGAACGTTTTAAACAAAAGAGCCAGCTTCATCCGTGCCATAACTCCACAGAGGTGCAATGAAGTCACCGAGTATCTTTATGGTGGGAACGTAGTCCACTGACTTTATTTTTCAAGAGTCATGTCTCGCAGGCCTCGAGCTAGGTGGATTTGTATTTCGAGCTGCCGTGCTCGATCCCCAGCTGGCACACCCAACGCAGGGCTGCCGGCCGTGGCCACGCGGCGCCAGCTAGCTCGGGGACCGCTGCACAGCTCACGCAGCTCCAGCACAGGCTTCCCCACGCCACCCTCTCTCCTGTTTTGGCTGTGAGGTTGGTTTGATACTGGGTTTTTTCTTCCGATGGTAACTTGCTCCCTTTAACGTTGAAGGCAGAGCTCACAGCGATGCCTGCAGACCGTAGCTTAGAGCCCAGCTGGTGGAAAATGACAAGCCATCACTACTGACAGCACTGCCAGGTTGGTTTACCACTCTTTGCCTCTATTTTTTTCCAAATCCCTCAAAAGGCAGGGTTAGGACTACCCTAAACCAACAAGGAGCTTGACTCTTCTCTCAAAGTGATGGAGCAGAAGAGCAAGTCACTGTAGTTTGATGGTGGCAGGGGGGGAAGGCCGCTGCGTGAGCTGCACCAGCTCCAGCAGAGCCTGTGGAGGGCCTGCCTGGTCCGCACGCTAGCAACACTGTCCCCAGGACTTGTATTTCCAGTGGTTGCTGGGTGGTAGCTTACAAATAAAGGTACTACCTGACCAGCGACTGTTTGCCGTTACCAGGTCCAAGGAGCCGGATGAGCTCCTACTGCATCTTCACGTCGCAACGGCTGTAAGAGCCCGTCTGTTAAAAGTCCCTGGCATCCACCAGGCAGGGCCCGGGATGCAAGAACGTCCAGCCAGGTGGAAACTCCCCTCAGGAGAAGTTAAAGTGTGAGACGAGGGTAACCGGCCTCGGAAAGTCAGCAGAGCGGTACGAGCACAGGATGGCCCGCAGGGGCTGAGGCTGCGCTGCCCCGAGCGGGAGGTTTCCGCCCTCTCCCTAAGTCCAGCCACGCGGTTCCACTGATGGCCCCCGGACCCCGGCTGTCCCCGGGAAAACGTGCGGCAGCCGAGGGAAGGAAAGTCGTTTAACGATCAGTAAGCAGAGAGACGTGAAACGCCCCAGGAAGAAGCAAACCAAGCGTCTTCACTGTCAAAAAAGGCAGTGGCAGGGGTTGCTTCAGGAATCTTTTGCCAATGCCCGTTTCCTAGACGGAGCACAAACGCGTTACTGGGACGGGGTTAGGCAAGTCCAGCCTTTCACCCACCTGCGTGACAGTAAAGGTACTGTTGTGTTTTCTCCACTAAATGAGACAAAGTCTGTAAGAAGGGATTGTATCTATTATTAAATCAACTGCTTATATCATCATACGCGGTTCTGGGTGCGCAAGTCCTTTCCTAGGTCATGAGGAAGGCTTTACAGCAAGATACTTCAAGTACAGCCATATTTTAGCTATGAAACCAAAATAGTTGCATTTGGCAACAGGGCAGCGGTGCCCGACCTGCGGGTCCGGCACAAAGGAGCTGTCTGCCCGTCCTGTACCGTCGCCCCAGTTAATAACACACCGCTCCAGCAGCAAATCCGACTGCGCTTTATCAATCGCTGCTGCTAAGGGAAAGGCACCTCCAAGGTTTCAGTGATTCAAGAAAGGGTAGCTTTGCTGTCGCCTCTAAATTAACAGCCCTGAAAGAAGAAACAGAACGCACCAATAACACACCCAAACTGGAATTCAAGACCTGGGAATTTTCCTTGCAGATGCACCGATTGGATGCTGGACACGTATCAGTCGTTCCCCTTTATGAACTCAAACAGTACATGCTGGGAAAAGACCTCAGGGAGATCGTCAGTGGTGTGTGCTTTGCTCGTGTAGAGAAATATTATCATTAACAGATCTCTAAAATATCTGAAAATGCACTGCACCTCATTACCGAGGCACTAACCCCCAAGCTTAAAGTTGTGATGCATTTTTAAGTTAAAAATGCTTGTTCAAATATTTCAAGAAATTGAGCATCTAATGCTCTTGATACTGAATATAAAATATTCACCAAGACCTGACTAAAAACATGGCTCTGAAAGAGGCTCTTTATCCATTTCTTTGAACTTGTAAAGCTGCATGAATGTTTTATCAGTACAAGAGAAGCGTGACTGGCCAGGCAGAGGATGTGCCTCTGTGATCTTTCCTTGGCCACTGTTCACCCATGTGATAGAGGATGTCGATACACTGGTCAGAGATAACCTTGGCTGAATGATCTTCACTGAAAATATTTGAATGTCTGAATATTCTACCTGTCAGTTCTCTCTCTCTCTAGACACAGGATGATTCTTGCACTGAGTCAGTCCTAAGCTTGTAGCCAAGTACCCACCACTGGCAGGATTTCACAGCGGACATTTTAGCGGCAGGCACCAGAAACCCTAAAATGGGCAATGACGAAACGTCCTGTCCCAAAGAAGCTTTCTTCTAAATGCTGACTGTTGGCAATCGCCTCATGCCTAGTTTACAGCTCATCTGGTGTAATTGGGGATATTCTCATTGTTTGTATAAGTGATCCAACATCTGCTGAGCTCCTGCATGCACGAAGTCTCACAGCAGTGAGCGCTACTGCCCTTTGTGCAGAAATATTTCTTTCTGTGCATCTCATCTGTACCCTTTAACATTTCATTTTATGCCCAGTTGTGGAGGTGAGTAAATGAAAGGAAACCCAGAGCGCTTTTGACCTACGTGTCGTTCTGGTCAGAGCGTGCGCGTGTATGCACAGGTACTGCGTGTGCACAGTCTTACCGAAAACCCTACGCGGGTCCCAGCACCTCCGACCACTACTGGGCCGTCGCGGGGCCGGCACCCGCAGGGCAGCACCAAGCAACGCTGAGGAGCAAAGGACTTGGACCTGCCTCTTACATCTGCGACGCAAGCGGGCGTTGGCTGACACATCACGGAAAGCAGAGCCCGTTTCTCTCGCTGTTGCTGTGACTGGAATGAGCAAACGCTGCCAGAGGGCAGAGCAAAACGTTGGGAAGCCAGGGCCGCGTACAGACGTTCGCCTCTGGCACGTCAAGGCGAAGCACGCTAGTCTACGCTGCCTGCGAAGGCAGAATGGCTGAGACATCTAGGAAAGCTCTCTCTGCTCCATAGCAATAAACAGCATTTTGTTTCACTTTATTTTTAGCTTGGTTCCTCCTCTTCCTCCCCACATCTGAGCTCTGCAGTTCAAGGCAGAGATCCAAGAACAAT